ACCTGCTTTAACTCAGGGCATGCGAACTTCACAATGTTCTCTAGTACTAGGTCGTCTCATCCACCTGCCACAGCTGACACTGCTGTGAGGTACAAATAATGTTCTGTTCATTATCTGAATTTCTCCTTTTTTGCTAGTAAAATCTTTGTAGCTTGGGCTGTTGATATCTTGCACGCAAAAGCCTTGATGAGTTGGTCAATAGCATGTCCAAATGAGGGAATTTCACCCCACCATTGATGGATTCTTCTCTGGAAGTAATCGGCTGCAGTGCCTTTTAGTTTGCTTCCTAACACATCAACCTTGATTACCTCTGGCCATTTAAAGTCAGAAAGAGTGACAGCTATGTTGGTCTCTCTCATGAATTGCAAAGCCCAGAGCTCAAAACTGGATCCTAAACCCTTATAAGTATCTTTATCCTCGAAAGGGGGAATCAAGCCTTTGCTTCAATGTAGGAATCCTTGGGCCGAATTGCTGCTGTTGATGCTGTGGTGGGAATGCATGCATTCCCTGTGCTTCTTGTTGCTCACTATACGCTTGAAACTGCTGTTCTCTATGTCTCGCGTCATCACGAGCGATTTCACCGTAGGACATACGGCGATCTCGTGCTCCCAGAGCTGAACCACGTGATACTGGCATGTGAGGCTGGAATTGACTCTTGATGCGTTCAAGCATGACACTCCTAAATGCTTCTGCCGAAGCGCTTCCAAGTACGGAAGGCTGCTGATGACGCTGTCCGTTATCAGACCTAATTGATGCTACTTCTATCCTCACGTCTTGTAATTCCTCCTTCATCTGAAGCATCATCTCCCACATTTCACGCAATACTTCTGCTGGAGTGAGCTCTTCCTTCTTATCTGTCACATTGTGAATAGTATTATCATTTTGTTGTGTTGAACTCATAACCTGTTGAACTAAATAGGTGGCCCGATACGCTACCTCTGCGTAAAGTGCTGCAAATGTCAAAAAGGAAGGAAGGACCTGGAGGTTTGAATGTAAGTTTCCAAGTGAATGTATTCTGCTTATAGCTAGCTAATTATTCGAATCGTTGGGAGTTTCATAACTCCTCCTGGTTTTCTTAAGTACGACTTAACTTGTTTCCAACAGAAGTATCATGCGCTTTCGATAGCAAGTCGTTCTTCGATTTCCGTCATTCAAAGCGGCGATTCTCGGAGAATCAACAAATTTTGGTCCTTTGTCGAGGTTGACTTTTGATACTTTACAAAATATGTGTCTGAATTATACTAGGCTGTAAGATTCTATTCGTCTGAGAGGACGAGTGCAACGAATAAACTACCTGTAAGGCTAAATCGAAACTTCGTGAACAAAACCATATACCACACTGACGTTTAGCAACATACACTAACGAATAATTTTTGCCGCCGACCAATATGCTCGCAATTTATTATGATGTTAAATCTGGCTCCAAAAAATTTAAACGATTATAGTCATTATTTTTTTTTGTCAAGCTTTTGTAGAAAAAAGTATTTTAAACACCAATTCCGGTGGAAGAAATGAATCACATCTAGAGCTTTTAAATGCTATTGCGTCTTGTGTATTATTTTCGCTTCCGTTTACGACGAGCCTTAATTACCTAAGTTTCAGATAATTTATAACCCTGTTTTCTTGCATTTCAAATACAATATTGATATTTTTTTTATTAAATTACTTACTGATTTTGACAATTCTCGGTGTTTCCGCCATCTTCACAAGTTTTTTTGCCCTGACTTGTTGCAACCATGCCAGCATATTCCCGAATGCTTGGCACCATCAAAAGTAGTTGAAATCTGAAAAGGAGGTAGGGCTTGCTCAAAGACTGATAATTTGTCTGGCCAATGGTTTCTAGAAAAGTGCCGTAATTGTAGCCTTCTAAGTTTAAGCCAGCCAATATTTTGCCTTATTATCAGAAAGACTCTGAAAGCGACTTCTACATAGACATGGACTCTATTCCTTGACTTCGTTTGAATACGTCGAGCATGAGAACATGCTTGCAAAAAAAGGCAAAAAACACAAAGATTACCTATTATAGATTTCCATTGAACAAAAAAAATTGGCAAATGTTTTTAAAATTCGCTGGTCGCGGAAGGTCAGTCGCCTGTAAAGTTGTGGTTCTAAAGTATGTTGAGAGATATCCTCGTTATCATTTAGCAGTAGTACCATTGCTACTGAAGATGCTGCCGAAGGGCATAAACTGTCACGCGATGGAGTTTCTGAATGGCGAATGACACCGTTTCAAGTGGAACACTTGACAATATGTGGACTATGTATTGCTGCCCAAGACACATAATCTGAAGACGTTGTAGCATGCGGAGCAACGCAAAGTCGGCAAAGGACTTTATAGATTCATCCTCTGAATTTTGACCCCGTTGGATCATAGAGAGCAGTTGTTTATCGCGCTCTTCACTCCGCAATTCGACTGCTCAAAGTTAGAATATGATCTCTTTGTCTTTCTTATCAGCAACTTTTTCGGGGCGGCCAAATTTATTGACTGCCGTGACAAGCGAATTTATTGGAGATCGTATCAATAAAATTCTAATCGATTTACAGGTTAGATACTGTACTTACCTCTTTCCAGTGTACAATAGAGCAAAATTTACCTTTTACGCAATGCATAAATCCTTGTCATGAATTGATCAGCATTTTGCATGTTGCTCCTTATACAGACCACGTTAAGCGACTAATGATAAAACGTGAGCTTGCTAAAGACCCCAAGCTTAAAAATGAAAATTGGGATCGCTTTTGCCTTCGTTCAAAAAGCAAAATGTGCAGACAAAGAAGCCCAAGAAGGTGCGTGAAAAGAAGGAGTATACACCATTATCACCGGCTACAACGGCTAACAAGGTAGACAAAGAGATTGAGAGTGGTGAATACTTCATGAAAGAGCACGAGCGCAAAGTTTTGAAAAGGCCAAGAAACACGAGGAGAAAGCTCAGATGCTTCAGAAGCGTAAGGCTGACAAGATGGCTGAATACGTCGCGCCGAGTGAGAAAGAGACAAACAAGAAACGCAGAAAACAAAAGACTGAAGCCCGAGAAATTAACAAGCTTGTTACTTCTGTTGAGGCTCTCAAACAGAAGTTTTTGAGCCAGAAGGTATGTGCTGACAGTTTTGGTTTTAAAGTCTTTGATCTGACATTAATTATTGCTGTACTTGTAATAGAGCACAAAAGGAACAATGGACTCGAAAGCTGTTTCATCCGCCAGCGACTACTTGGCTGGTTCGGCCAAGAAGAATTTAAAGAAGGCTAATGTGTAACTAGAAATATATGACGTTTCCTGATTGCTATTTTCCTCGTATCTTATCAAGAAAACCGATGAGCTTAGATTTTCATAATTTGCGGAAAGTCAAGTGTATGTTCGGGCATGAAGTTGATAACAGACACTTCTCTTCCACATCTGCCTCCATCGCCCTACTTCGACATCAACAGTAGTCTCTACGACACTTATATATGAAGGTATTGAAATCATGCAAGTTGTTTGACAAGCAAGTGGAAAGTCATCCGGGTTATTTCAAGTGCACCCTTTGATGAAGACGGCTCGTACGATGCTGGGGAAAAGGATCAAAAGTTGCAACCTAAAAGATTGGCATGAATGAGTTCTAGGGAATAGATCCAGATGACACAAGCGTGAATCTCAGTATACGACTCAAAGATTGAGGACTTCGGAAGATAAGATTCATTAAAAGGTCGCACGTTATCCAGACGCGGCAAACATCCCGTCGAACTTGTATCGCCTGTCGGCATTTCAACAAAATAAACGAAGGTGTTGAGGGCTTTGCGCAGCTTACGATGATAAATTGAGGGATGTGACATAACCCACAAGTGACATTTAAATGCTCTAAAGTCAAATAATTTGCAATTACTTTCTGGCTTCATCGATTGTTTAGGTGTCCCAGATGGACTTCATGCAAACATGAGTGGTGATTTCTGGGTCGGCATCTACTAGATTGTTGATCATTTACATACATTTATTTAACTTGTAGATCGCATTTGTACTGCGTACTGACCGATATTCACAACTTGAAAAGCCTCCGAATCGCTTTGTGCCCAGTATCATCATCATTTGGTACCATTTCGCTTCGGCACTTGAAGGTGATTGCCGCTTATTGTTATCCAAAAATCATTACAAGTTGAGTGTTCGAGACTTCATTAAACGTTCAATGTTTTTCAAACCTCACTTAAATGATCGCTGTTGATGCCAACAAAGCGTTACCTCAATAAGAATACATGTTGCTTTATTCTTCTTCTAGTGACTCATCATCTCCGCGATTTCAGCAGCTCAATTGTTATACTAAATCCAAATAAAAAAGGCAAGCAATAATTGCAAATTATCTGCATGCTCATGTAGAAGAAGTTGCTTGAGCAGCAAAACGTTTAGCACGCGACCATGCTTATATTCTTCATCAGTGCGCAAGTTGCACATTACTACTAGCTCTAGTTCAATGCATACGTGAATGCACGAAGGTTGATACAGACTTGGAAACTGAATCAATTCTTTCTGCCTGCAAAGGGAACGCCTTTGCAATTATAATAATCCAAATGCTCTTCACTACTCAGCACGTAGCTAGAAGCACAAGCTACCTTACACGAAAGCTGGGACACCATCCTCGACCGAGTGACAAAATTGTAGCCATAAAGGTAAATGATTTGGAAGACGACGGTCAAGATGTCCAAGCCATTAAATAAATACTAAAACGCATCGATTTCTTTGATACGGTAATTTATCTTAGTGATCGACGACGCTCACTGTTTAGACAAAAAATCTCATTTATATTTCAATGGAAGCGGGTTCTCTATGACGGTCATTGCTTCACTGATCGAGGAGCACCAAATAGCGGCAGCGCTACACTACGGCACCTTCGACAGCGATAGCAACCTTCGAATTCAGTCGACTATATAAAGTATATTGACGTTGAAAATTGCTTCTATTTTCTTGTTAGCTCTTCGACTGCTCATTTCTGGCCATCAGGTGATTGTATAGACCTTCACAAGCGTCTTCTAGAAGATCAAGCACGTGGTCGAAACCGCCTTCGTACCACGGATCCGGAATACGAGTGGCATCCTTGAAAGTATTGCAATAATCGGTCATCATTGAGATTTTGTCCCTGGCGAGGTCACGACATGATGGGCCGCCCCAGGCCATAGCAGCCTCCAGCACCGCCGCTTTGTTCTTGTCATCCATGCAGATGATATAGTCAAATTCATCAATGTCCATCTTGTTAAGTGGACGTGATCGCGATGTCATAACATAGCCACGTTTCTTGGCTTCTTTCGTCATGCGCGAATCCGATGAGTCTCCCTCATGGTACGACCAGCCACCGACGTTGTACCAGTTCGGATTGCCTCCTCCAGTACCGCACGATTCAATTCGAAAGGAGCTTGCATTTGCACCCGCTTTCTTGTTCACAATGCCTTTGAGCACTGCCTCGCCTGCCGGACTCCGACAAATATTCCCTAGACACACGAATAATGCACTTGCCATACTTAAATGCAGTCAGTTGATTGGAGTGCGCCATGTTCATTATTATTGAGCACAGTAATTTTTGAATTGTGTAGAAATATTACAAAGTATATCAAGAACTTAATACTATTCATAATAGTAAACGGGTCGAGGCTGAAGGTCGACAAATATGGGCAAAAAGAAGAGACGCGATGATGGCGGCATAGGCGGTGAGGCTCCGCAGCGGCGCATCTTTTGCTATATTAGGCGGCATCATCTCTATCATCTTTTTGCTTTTCATATTTTCAATATGGGAGTGGTCATTATAGACAAAATTATGGGTATGAACGCACCGGCGGTCCGCTTACTAAATTCTCCACCGCCGCACCCATTCAACAGAGACGCGACGATTAAACGTCATGTGGAATATTTTTGTGTAAATTGTAGCACGACTGAAAAACCGGTGGGATACTACCGGTATTACCGGTATAAAATGAAATGATTTCTTAAGATAAGAACCTTTCCCCTCTTGTTAATTCTGTGTACATTAGTAATCATATCTAAAAATTAGCCTAAAAATGTCAAAAGACAAGCAAAATGTACAATGCTGGATTACATTGACAACGACAAGATTGCACCATTATTGCAGCCACAAGAAACAGGAGAGTCAGAACGAAAAAAAGAGTGTAGCTACCAGGAGCACGAGAGAAAAAAGTCTTCGTATCATATTAAGATGCAGATTGTGTCTATTCTAATCTCTTGCATGGGTTATCGTCAGCCTATTTCTAACGTGTCGAAGCAAGAAGAATTCAATAAGCTTATGCATGCCTACATAACCTTATCTTGCCTTGGCATCATCGTGCAGAAATTATTATCGGGTGACGTAAAGCAGATCAAGAAATCTCTGCGCATGAATCAATAATCACATGTGACCAGTCCTTTAAAGTGGGCTATGAACATCTAGTCGATGCTTCCTTCTTTGCATCCTCTTCTGTGTGTTTCTTTACAAAAGCATTCATTGTCATTATTTTTCTTTTATCAACATTAAACCACAATTTCATGTTGCAGATACCGTTGAGCGCCATTCGTCAAGTGGTGGGGACAAGCTGGAAAAATCAATAAATCGACCGAGAAGCAGAGTGAATGAGCACGTTTTCCTTGCTGTGAACAGTTATATACTTCGCTTACGCAAAACAATCAAGAACACAAAAACTAAGGCATCAAACGTGATATATGTCTCGCATAGCAAGTATTTTACGAAGTTGATTGAATCGAAGTACGCATATGACCTCAATTTAATACAGTCCTGGATCCTTAAGCTCTCGAACATACTTCAGCATATCTTTCGCAAATTTATATATCAAATAATTGCTTTGAGATTCTCTGGTCAATATTTCCTGGTCAGACTCCTCTCGATTCAGCCGAAACACCACCCCCTGACATCAAATTACGATGAGAACAATAGTATATGATACGCATAAAGACGTTCCGCCTCGCGGCAAAACCCTTAACAGTTTAACTCACCTGATTTTGATCGTTTGGCGTCAATGGTGCTTTCGGTTCGACTTCGTAGGCCTTGTAAGCTTGTAAAAATCTTTCCAATGTTTTGATTTGTTCATATTTTTGCTCGAAAAAATTAAGCAAAAGAAAGTGTGACGCGTTTTCTTCTACAATGGAATTGCAATCTAGAGCGAAAGCGGCATATTTAAGCCACAAATCAGACAGATGGTATGGTGAAAAAGATTTGGAAAAGTGTTCGAGACCCTTTATGCCATTCATTTCCATACGAAACGCCAGATGCTGCGTTCCAGGTCTGTCTATCAAGACGTTCTGCATTTGATCAATAGCATCTTGTCCGCCGAAGAAGCG